CCTCGGTGGCAGCTGAGATGACATGGCTTTCCCTTTCTCCTTTCCCCTCCAAGCAGCTGAGGGGGTTTTTACAGCTTGCCTGCCCCGAGGTTTTTATTTTAAATTCTAACAAAAATGTCCTAGAGTTTCTACTTGAGTCCATTCTTAAATTCTTTTATTTAATGAGACCAAGAACCTGATTTTCCCCGTATCAAGTGCATTCCTGCTCCACCGCTGTAGCTTTCCTTACAGGAAATGGTTCACAGTAACTACAATCCCCACAATGCAGCTCTCCTTCTCTCCCCCTGCTCTTTCTGCTTCTCTCAAGAGCCTCCCTGATGGGAATTGTAGTTCAGAGAGGCCCTAAGTCAAGGATGGGAGAATGATGAAGGCTGGGGAATCAAAACCGCTCTGCTCTGGCTGTCCCGCCTAGTCTCAGCTAACTGGAGTGGCTTCCTTCTTCACCAGAGGAGGCCGCAGGGGATGCAGGGGAAGGGTGAAGTAGATCCCTCCCACATCTTTTCCTTGCTAATCCAGTCGGATCTGTTCAGAGCCTTATCCTTGTATTCCAGGGATTGGCAAGTCCTGAGGCCCCGTCCCAGGCTGTTGAAGGAGCTGCTCTTTCAGATTCGAGGTGGCGTGAGGTTAAGATGCCTCTAGACAGCCTTGGGTTCATTGTGCAAGCTGGTCTAATTCTTCCAGTGCCCCGGATACTGTGTTCAAATCCATCCCATCATTTAACCACAATAATCTGTTGAGAGGGAAAAATACCAGCCCATTTCCAGATGGAGACTGACACTGGGAAAGATCATCCAGCTATCAGGAGGGCAGGTGCACAGAGCTCAGCGCCCATGTCCTCTGACTCTTCTCATCATAAACTGATGTCAATTTGCATTATGCATAATTATTTTCATTTTGGCATTCATTTATTTTTTGCTTATATGCATGCACACGCCACTTCGAACATGTGGAGGTCAGAGGGCAGCCTCCAGGAGTCAGTTCTCTCCTTCTACCAGTGGGTTCTGGTGATCAAACTCAGGCCCTCATGCTTAGCCTCAGGTGCTACCCACTGAGCCACCTTGCACCAAACTAACCATTTAGAAGTGAGCCATTCTGCAGCAATTTAGTACATTCTTGATGTACACTCGCCATCTCTAGCTGGTTTTCAAACATTTTCAAGCTCCCAGTAATAATAAAACCCCAAGCCCATGAGCTGGCACTTGGACTCCCCTGCTCACAGCTGGGAGTTCTCCTAGTTGGGAGTGCTCTGGAAATGCCATCTTTATTGTTGGCTTTACAGCCGAGGGACGGGGGTAGGTGAACCCTGCTCCCTCTCTGCCCACCTTCAGCCTGTGCCTAACACTCCTCTAGCAGCCTTGGTTCAGGCCTCACCAAAGGGTGGAGTCCCTGCCCCAGGCCAGTCCTGCTTTCAGTGTGAGCCAGACATCTGCTGGTTCTGCCCTCATTCACCAACCCCCTTGGGTCCTCATTACCACACCTGCCTCGGTTTCCTCCAGCATCGCCCTGTCATTGTATAGTTAGGGTTTCTGTTGCTGTGATGAAACACTGTGATCAAAAGCAAGTTTGGGAGGAAAGGGTTTATTTGGCTCACACTTCCATACCACGGTCCATCATTGAAGGAAGTCAGGACAGGAACTCAAACTCGGCAGGAACCCGGAGGCAGGAGCTGATGCAGAGGCCATGGAGGGGTGCTGACGATTGCCTTGCTCCCCATGTCTTGCTCAGCCTGCTTTCTGATAGAACTTGGGACCACCAGCCCAGGAATGCACTACCCACAATCTGCTGGGCCCTCCCCCGTCAATCACTAATTAAGAGAATGCTCTACAACTGGATCTTATGGAGGCATTTTCTCAATTGAGGTTCCCTCCTTTCAGATAACTCTAGCTAGTGTCAAGCTGACATAAAAACTAGCCAATGCAACTGATCCCTTCACACCTTCAAATCCAGTACCACTCAGTGACTCTTACATTACCAATTTCGGCAGCCAGCACAAGGACAACTTTGGTCATCTCTGGAACCCAACTGTGTTCCGACTCTCAGGAAACACTTCCCAGAGGATTTCACCTCAATGAGGTCTCTTGTTAATCACAGCCAATTCTTTAGCTCCAGCTGGCCAGACACCACAGATCCTTCACACAAATGGCCTGGTAAAGTCTTTGCTTCCCTCTGAAATGTCACAAGCCAGGCCTCCAACTGCACTGTTTTCAACGTTCTTATCTCCTAAGTATTGGTGAAATTATTAAGGCCACTCCACGTAGTTAAAAGGGAGGTTTATTTAGTGGCATAACTTACAAATGAATGGATAGGTAGGTTGCAAGGTCTGGGAAAGGCATAGCGCAGTCTGGTGGTATTCTCTGGAGAACTCTGCTCAGTCTACCTCCAGCATCCAGGGGCCAGGAACCAAGAGAGTTGGCACATCTGGATCTCGGGTCTTCAGGGTCCTCTCTTGGCCCTGCCTTGTAGGCGTGACAGTTACCGAAGCCTCAATGGGGGTTGGAACTTCCAGACCAAAGCTGGAATGGCTACCCACTACACCTAAGCTCATACAGAACAGCTCACTGAGCTCTCAACACTCAATGACTTTTCTAGCCCAACGTTCCAAAGTCCTTCAACAGTTCTCCCCAAAACAACATGGTCAGCTCTGTCACGGCAACACCCCACTCCTGGTACCAAAATCTATATTAGTCAGGGTTCTCTAGAGGAACAGAACTTACAGAATAAATATCCCTCTCCCTCTCTCGTTTCACTTCAAATGATTTAATTAAGAAGTAATTCTTCACAGGTGTGCCTGGTCATTAGCATTTTAATTAATTCCAGATGTAGTCAAGTTGACAACCAAGAACAGCCATTACAGCCATGAAAGGTCCATTTGGGTGGGACCCCAGTTCTTGGTCCTTCTGGCTGCCACCTGTACCCCCAGAGCCTGACTCTTGCTCTTGATCTCAGTGTCTCCTGTCACCTGCAGATCCCCCAGAACCTTGAGGCTTCAGGGCCATGATACTGGGGGTCCTTCAAACCTCACCTGTCTTGGTGAGAGAAGTAGGAATCCCATAGGCCTTGAGTGTGAAGTGTGTGTGTAAGGAGGCTGGGATTCTCGGCTCTTCTTATGAGGGAAGCTGGCAGCTTGGCCCTATCACATTCTCCCTCCCACTCCTGGGGATCCCAGGGCCAGAAGCCCTGGCAACTCATCAAGCTTCATGCCCAGAGCTCAGGACAAGAAGCCAGAGGGATGTCAGTGAGTACCCCTCCTCGGGACAAGTGTACTTGGCAGGAATCTGCATGTCCCTTCAGAGCCTCTGTACTCCCAAGCCCATGCTGGAACAAAACATTTTCTTCCTGACCATGATTCAGCCAATCATCTGACAGCCCTGAGCCAGGTCACCTGCACACAGCCAGATCCAGTCTTTGATGAGACCCCACTCCAGCCGGAGACAACTCTGGAGCAGGAAGGCCCTTGTCCCGTAGCCCACCTGATGGCACACAGTTGCTCTCCCCTGCCCCTCCCTTCCCTCCTGGGTTGGCCATCTAAGATCTTGACTGAGTTGATAATTGTCAAACTGACTGCAGACCAGGCCTGGAAATCTGGGGAGCTTTCTCATCAGGCTTTTTGGGGTGCTCGGCTGGCACTGAGGTCTTCTGGGACCAGCTTTATCACTCGCGCCCATGGCACGGGCAAACCTCTGCTTAGCCACAGCCCTGGACTCCTGCCATCCACACCTCTCCCCCTGGGTACCCAGTGGTGTCACCCTGGGTACAGTACCTAGTGTAATGGTTCCTGCCACAGTGTGCCCTGTGCTTCAGAGAGTGGGAAGCCTGGTTCGCAGTAGGCACTGGGACGCCAGCTGCACCCACCGCGGCCAATGTCACTCCGCAGGCGTTCTTTATTAGCGGTCGTCATGGGCACATGCTGAGTGCCACGGGAATGAAAGACAAGAGTGCTTAGGCCTAGCACTCAGAAGGCAGAGGCAGGTGGATCTCTGTGAATTTGAGCCAGTCTGGTCTATAGAGTGAGTTCCAGTCCACCCAGGGCTACATGGTGAGACGCTGCCTCCTGCCTCAAAACAAAGCTGTTTTTCCTATCTTTCTGTCTTTGTTTTGAGGCAGAGCTCATGTTCCTATGGGTCCCTCTCTTTTCACGGGCCCCTCCCTGCACCGGAGTCCCCAGCCCATCTCTCGACATCCTTCTCCCGAGAAGGGCAAATCCAGTAAACTCACGTTGTCTCCACATGTGTGTGAACTGTGTGTGTAGTGGTGTCCACACACTTGTGCCTAATGGTGTGCACTTGTCTTGGGATCAGCCTGGGCTGCAGAGGATGTCTCAGCCCGTAGACATTCGCTTTCTACGGGTCTGGAGTCTTGAGGTCCCGGTCAAATCACAGGCATGTTCAGATTCCGCTGAGGACTTCCTCACTTGCAGGCGGCGGCCTCGCACTGGTCCTCGCTTACCCTTGATTTTTCCTCTGTGTGCACAGGGCGTGGGGTGGGGCAGAACAACGAGCATCCCGTGTCTTGTCCCCTTATAAGAACACCAGACCTGCCAGATTAGAGTCGTCCTTATGATGTCCCATAAGCTTCACTACAGCCCAAAGGCCCTAACTCCAAATACAATCACATCGGGCATGTGTGCGCAGGGAAGGCTAGATCTTCAACAAGAATAGGGGCATCTCACAGTTCAGTCTACAACAGCGCGCGTGTGTGTGCGCGCGCGTGTGTTTGTGTGTGTGTGTGTGTGTGTGTGTGTGTGTGTGTGTGTATGTATCTGTATGTGAGAGAGAATATATATCGGCCTGTTCCAGGTTCATGTCTGTGTGTCTGTCTGCACATGGGTTCTTGTGCCTTGTGTAGCTGGACTGGGAGGGGAGCAAGCAGTGAGAATCCGAACCTGCCAATCACCCCCTCCCACCTGAGGTGGAGGGAGGCAAGCTGGGGCACCAGCGGAAGCAAGCGTGGGCTCTTCTCTGCCGATCAAGATCTATAAATAAGGTTGTCTCCCTGGCATGTTCCACACCACACGCGGCTCTTTAATAAAAATTGGCTGAGATTTGTGGATAAGCCTGAAGCAAAGTCAATGCTTGGTGTCAATCCCACGCTAAGAGGGGCCTTCAGGGGTCAAGCTGCTTCCTGTATATGATGCCCCATCAAAGATATGTCAGCCTGGTGCTAAGCAGCTCCTAGAGTGCGGGGAGACCCCCAGCTCTGATGGGGCTCACGTCAGGGTTCTTGGCCGTGCTCCCAGGATGGAGAATGAGGAGGAGTGAGGGAACACAGTCCATGTCGTCCTCTCTATGGGACCCGGCTACTCCTCAGAGGCCGTGGAGGTCACAGCATCTTCCCTGTGTGAGCAGCAGGAAGATCGTGAGGTCGTAGCCCCTCTCTCCCCTGTCCCAAGGGGCATCTGTCCTGCTCCTCACCAGGCCAAATTCACAAACAGGGAGTCTGCCGCGGGCTTGTAGGGGTCACCAGCTTCCTGGACGCTGCTGATGCTGGAGGGGTCTGGGTGTGTGCAGCAGCAGGTGAATTCTGTCCAGCCTCGGCCACTGGGCGAGGATGAGCATCTAATAGGCATGCTGGCCACACTCGGTGAGGCAGAAAGAGGGGAAATCAAACGAAGTTTGGTTTAATTAAGTATCAGGGAAGATTTATGCAACTTCCTCTCTCTGTCATAAATATTAATGAGGGCAGCCTGTAAGCTCTCCACCATCCTCTAGCTTGGTAGAGGACAGGCTGGTGGTGGGGAGGTTTGCAGTTGCCCCCAGTTCACACACACACACACACACACACACACACACACACACACACACACACACACAGTCTAGTGGCACCTAGGATGCCTGGGCAGGTGGTGGTTTGGAAGTCTCCTGCCACACACTCAGCCACTAGGCAGTGAGGCCCAGAAGAAAGGAAACCTTACCCACTGGTCGGGGCTCCCCTTGGCCAGCTTGGCCTCGCTCCCTCTCATGGTTGACTCTGCTGTTGTCCGAGAGGCAGGGGGGTAGCATAGAATCGTGGGGAGGGGGACTAACCAAAGCAACATGGTTGGAGGCCTGAGAGTGTTGTCAGGAGTGTGCCTGAGACACCAACAGGCTGAGGTGAGCAGGAGACACATCGGGATGGCCACCAGGGCAACTGGCATAGGAGCCTGGCAGGGGCAGGACTGACTGAGCAAGGCTGGGTCTTCCAGTACTCTAGAGAAACAGAGGCAGCAGGGTGTATGTGTGCGCGTGCGTGCATGTGCGTGCGTGCGTGCGTGTGTGTGTGTGTGTGTGTGTGTGTGTGTGTGTGTGTTAGGCAACAAACTGACTCATGATAAGGAATTGGCTCGAGTGCTTGTGGAGGCTGGGAAGTCTCAAGTCCACGGCCTGAAGGCTGGGGACCCCATGGACTGATGGGACAAGATCAGTCTGAATATGGCAGGCTAGGGGCCCTGGAAAGGCTGAAGCATAAACAGACCACCTCAGCTCAGGCAGACAGGCAGGGGGCCCCTCCCTCCACCAGAGCCTGGACAGAGTGTTTGCATGTTTGCAAAGGAGCACCATGGGAGGCCCAGGAGCACCATGGGAGGCCCAGGAGCACCATGGGAGGCCCAGGGCTCCTGGCTCTGACATCACAGGAGGCCCAGGGCTCCTGGCTCTGACATCACAGGAGGCCCAGGGCTCCTGGCTCTGACATCAC